GGCCCTGGCGTTGTTTAAACCCACGGGGTCTGGGACTCGAACCATAATCTACTACGTGGGAGTCCAGCAACATAGCCATTATGCCATCTGCTGGTCCCAAAAGAATACATTTAATACCACAGGAATATAATCATTTATATCCAGACCTTTAAACCCCAGAACAAATTATTTATTTTCTTCACTCTAAAATTGTAAGGTAAAAGGCCTGGACCCAGTGGCTTAAACTCATGCTGGGCGCATGTGCATGCATGCCCAAGATTCCAAGAAGAGAATGGAGGAGAAGGGATCACAGCATGACCATCCCCCCGGGGGATGATTTCTTGCTTTCTGTCTGTCTCTCTTTCTGGCAAGCACATGCACCCTATAGCAAAACCTCTCCTAAAAAAAAGAACCTTCATATTGTGTAAACTTCACTACCACTATCTCCAGAGCATTTTCATCTTCCTCAACTGCAATTCTGTATCTGTTTTTAATAAGTTTCTATAAGTGTTGCAGATACCTTAAGATGTTTAAAAGTTAGTATTTATAATATAAATATATTAATAAATTATAAGAAGGAAATCATGGGAAAATCTTAATGTTATACTGATTTTTATCTGTAGGATATCATAATAAATATGAAATCATAATTCTACAAGTTAGTAATAATTTAAGCTTCTTAGCTCATAAGAACACTATTTGAGGTTCTTAAATAGCATAGCATATTTACCAGATCCTGTTTGGTCAAGCTAAGTGCCCAGTTGATTTGGTTAGTTCGTTCATGTAAACCACTTACCATGAAAAGGTTGATCAGATTATTTATTCATTTGACAGATCAGCTCAGTAAAACTAGAGCTAGAAATAATGTTTAGAGAACCTTCAGAGCCTATATTATGTTACCTGTAATCCCTTCAGGAGTACTAGTCCTTTATTCTTTGGAGAGAGATTTGCTGGTTGGAAATTAGATCTAAAGTCATTCAATTTCAACTCTGCAAACTAAAATGGACAAAATGAGATAGGATATACTTGTTTTTCATTGATTCATCAAATATTCATCAAATTTTTTTAATGCGTATTACTGTTTACCATTAAGTTTTTGCCTCAAAATTAAACACTGATCTGCTCATTATTATAGTTATTTAAAATAGCATGACTGTGGGGCCAACAAATGGCATGGTGGTTAAGGTGCTGGACTCCCACATAGCTGACTGCAGTTCAAGTCCCAGACGTGGTGGCTTGCTTTCTCATTTACCCTTTGTCTCTCTCTCTCTGGTCAAATTAAAAAGTAATAACAAATGGAATTAAATAAATAAATAAATATTGTTTTAAATAGTATGACTGCATTTATCAAATGATTTAAGTAATTTTGTTGAGTCAACAATTCAAAAACAAAGTAAAATTTCTTGAACTAGAGGCTGATATTTATGGGTAGCAATTCCAGAAAACTTCTAAAAATGGCAAGTAGAGTCATTAGTGCAAAGAAACTGTTCTTCCCATTAAATGTTTCTGGGATGCCTTCTATGTTCCAGGCATTATACTAGGCATTAGAAAATATGATGATGAACATAATACATATATCATCTCAGTTCTCTGGGACTTTATAGTCTAGTTGACATATATGAAACATATATAATGACTTTTTTAAAAGACATGGAAAATATGGGACCAGCAGTTAGCGTAATGGCTATGTCGCTGGCCTCCCACGTAGTCGACCACAGTTTGAGTCCCGAACCCGGTGGCTTAAACTCACGCCTGGCACGTGTGCGTGTGTGCCCAAGATCCCAAGAGGAGAAAGGAGGAGAAGGGATTGTGGCATGGCCATCCCCCCTGGGGGGTGATTTCTCCCTTCCTGTCTCTATGTCTCCCTCTGTCTTTCTGGTGAGCGCACGCGCCCTATAGCAAAAAAAAAAAAAAAAAACTCTAAAAAAAAAAGATATGGAAAACATACCTCCTTCTTTTTAGATTTAATTTTATTTATTATTATTTTAATTTGTTTTAGGGCATGTGTGCCCACCATAGACAGATGGAAGTAGGGGGAAGATAAGATGAGAAAGCAAGCCTCCAGGTCCAGGATTTAAATTGCAGTCAGCCACGTGGGAGTTCAGCACCTTAAGCACCACGCCACCTGCTGGTCCCCAAACATACCTTTTTAGGGGTCGTCAGTGAAGCTACAGAAAGATATACATTAATAAATTAGCATTTAGTGTGGGCCCTAAGTATTGGGTTGTAAGAAAAGTTATGCATTTTTGCAGCAGATGGTGCTAGTTCATATTTGGAAGTATTAGAGTCATTTGCATCTATGCTAATGCTATGTTATTTGACAGCTGACAGTTCTAGCTTCATTCTAAAAAAAAAAAAAAAGTTAAGCAATTTGGTTTAGTTTTGGAAATTTTACACAGGTTGAAGATGGAAGACCAAACTGCATTTCGCCATATTTTACTGTTTTACTTCCATAAAGGCAAGAACACTTGTCAAGCTTATGAAAAGTTGCATAGAGTTTACAGTGACAATATTCTATAAGAATGTCAGTGCCAGCGATGGTTTATCAAATTCCGTGCTGGTGATTTTTTTTTATTTTTTTGAGAGGTTTTTGCTATAGGGCGCGTGCGCTTGCCAGGCAGACAGAGAGAGACAGAGAGACAGAGAGCAGGACATCACCCCCAGGGAGGATGGCCATGCCGCAATCCCTTCTCCTCCATTCTCCTCTCAGGATCTTGGGCACGCACACACACGCACCCGGCATGAGTTTAAGTCACTGGGTCCGGGACTCAAACCGCGGTCGACTACGTGGGAGTCCAGCGACATAGCCATTACGCTAACTGCTGGTCCCCATGCTGGTGATTTTGATCTCAACGACACTCCTTGGTCAAGGAGGCCCACCAAGGATAATGACAACAAAATAAAGGAATCAATCAAGTCATGTTACACGACAGGAGAAATTGTAGAAACATTGAACATCCATCATTCAAGTGTTCACAACCACCCAAAGAAGCTGGGATATGTAAGGAAGTTTGATATTTGAGATCCTTGTAAACTCAGAGAAGTTCATTTGACAGTGCATATGAACATCTGCAATATGCTTATTAAACATGAGGAAAATTATCCTTTTTTGAAGCAACCCGTAACTAGTGATGAGAAGTGGATTGTTTACAACAATGTAGTGTATAGTCAGTCAGGTAGGTGGTGGGGTCAGCAGCTACAACAGATAGGTACTGACATGATGATTTGCCTGAAATGACATAGAAAGCAGACATTCATCAGAAGGTTGTCCTCTCGGTGTGGTGGGATTTTAAAGGTGTTATGTTTTTTGCCCTGGAGTGATTCCGTCCTGCGTGACTGTTTTTGGGAGCTGTAGTCGTTGACCTCCGTCTACCTTCTTGCCCACCCAAGTGCGTGCCACCACCCTATGGAAGATTAGATGGACATGGACATGAGCCCCCTGAGGCCCCAGAACTAATTTTTCGGTTGTGAACTAAAGGCTGACAAAGATTATCACTTTAAAGTGGATAATGATGAAAATGAACACGAGTTATCTTTAAGAACGGTCAGTTTAGGGCTGGTACAAAGGATGAATTGCACATTGTTTGCTGGTACAAAGGATGAATTGCACACTGTTGAAGCAGAGGCAACGAACTATGAAGGCAGTCCCATTAAAGTAACACTAGCAACACTGAAAATGTCTGTACAGCCAACAGTTTCCCTTGGGGGCTTTGAAATAACACCACCTGTGGTGTTAAGGTTGAAGTGTGCTTCAGGGCCTATGCATGTTAGTGGACAGCACTTAGTAGCTGTAGAGGAAGATGCAGAGTCAGAAGAAGAGGAAGAGGACGTGAAACTCTTAAGTATACCTGGAAAGCGATCTGTCCCTGGAGGTGGTAGCAACGTTCCACAGAAAACAGTAAAACTTGTTGCTGATGAAGATGATGATGACGATGATGATGAGGAGGAGGAAACAGAAGAAAAAGCTCCAGTGGAGAAATCTATACGAGGTACTCCTGGCAAGAGTGTTCAAAAATCAAACCAGAACGGAAAAGACTCAAAACCATCAACACCAAGATCAAAGGTCAAGAATCATTCAAAAAACAGGAAAAAAAAAAAAAA